TACTCACACCTTGGCCAGGCATGGTCGCTCACGCCTGTAATCCCAGCACTTTGGGAGGCTGAGGCAGGCAGATCACCTGAGGTCAGGATTTCCAGAGCAGCCTGACTAACATGTTTAAACCCTGTCTACCAAAAATAAAAAATTAGCTGGGTGTGTGGTGGTGCATGCCTGTAATCCCGGCTCAAGTGATCCTCCTACCTCATCCTCCCGAGTAGCTGGAACTATCTGTGCACACCACCATATCTGGCTAATTTATTTTTAGTAGAGATGAGGTCTTGCAATGTTGTCCAGACTTGGTCTGAAACTTCCTGAACTCAAGCGATCTTCCTACTTTGGCTTCCCAAAGTGCTGGAATTACAGGCATGAGCCATGTGCCTGGCTGATAAAGTATTTTTAATGGGCCAGGCACGGTGGCTAATGCCTGTAATCCCAGCACACAGGGAGACTGCGGCAGGTAGAGCATGAGGTCAGGAGTTTGAGACCAGCCTGGCCAACATGGTGAAACTCTGTCTCCACTACAAATACAAAATTTAGCCAGGCATTGTGGCAGGCGCCTGTAATCCTAGCTACTAGGGAGGCTGAGGCAGAAAAATTGCTTGAACCCGGGAGGCGGAGGTTGCAGTGAGCCAAGACCATGCCATTGCACTCCAGCCTGGCGACAGAGCAAGACTCCATCTCAAAATTTTTTTTAATGAAAAGTAATTATTTTTCCAAACAAAATTAGGTGAGAAGAGTAGCACTGTTTTTTATTTTCATAACTCTCTTGAATGTCTAGCATCATAGAAGATAGTGGGGATGCTGTCAGTGGCAACACAGTGATACCCCATCTCTACTAAAAATACAAAAAATTAGCTGGGCGTGGTGGCGTGCACCTGTGATCCCAGCTATTCAAGAGGCTGAGGCAGGAGAATTGCTTGAACTCAGGAGGCAGACGTTGCAGTGAGCTGAGATCACACCACTACACTCCAGCCTGGGCGACAGAGTAAGACTACGTCTCCAAAAAAAAAAAAAAAAAAGAAAAAGCTTGATTTTTATCATAACTGACAATGCTATCAGGCTTAGCTTAAATTTTAAAATTTGTTTATTTTTTTTGAGACGGTGTCTCGTTCTGTCGCCAGGCTGGATTGCAGTGGTGCAATCTTGGCTCACTGCAACCTCTGCCTCCCAGGTTCAAGCAATTCTCCTGCTGCAGCCTCCCAAGTAGCTGGGAGTACAGGCGCGTGCCACCACACCCAACTAATTTTTGTATTTTTACTAGAGACAGGGTTTCGCCATGTTGGCCAGGATGCTCTCAATCTCTTGACCTTGTGATTGGCCTGCCAATCCCAAAGTGCTGGGATTACAGGCATGAGCCACCATACCTGGCCAGGCTCAACTTTACTTTTAAGAAAATGTCTGCCGAGTATCCAGTGCACAACTACAGTCTGATAATTGTTCTTTCAAATAAAAAGGTATTCCATGAAGAAAGCTGTTAATACAGCCCCAGACTCAAATTGCAAAAGTGCTTTTCCTCAAGACAAATGTACTTATAAGTGCTTTATGCATACATACATGCATTTAATCACATAAACACGTGTACTTAAGTAAAACAAATAATTTTGTCTTCATCAAAGACCTCTTAAGTGAAATAGGTGTTTTTGTCTTTTTTTTTTTTTTCCGAGATGGAGTCTTGCTCTGTTGCCCAGGCTGGAGTGCAATGGTGTCATCTCCCCTCACTGAAACCCCTGCCTCCCTGGTTCAAGTGATTCTCCTGCCTCAGCCTCCTAACTAGCTGGGATTACAGGTGCGTGCCACTGCACCCAGCTAATTATTGTATTTTTAGCAGAGACGGTGTTTCACCATAGTGGCCAGCTGGTTTTGAACTCCTGACCTCAAGTGATCCACCCACCTTGGCCTCCCAAAGTGTTGGGATTGCAGGTGTGAGCCACTGTGCCCATCCTCAAACAGGCGTTTCTGTGGCAGTGAAGAATACCTTGACCTCTAGTATAGCTTGGTGCAGTTGCCTTGATTTGTGCTAAGGCAGCAGTTTTTTACTCATTGCTACTTTTGTGTCATTGTGCAAATGTTATCACAGTGACAATGCAGATAATGTCTTAGTATTATTATGAAAATAGTTTTGATCTCAGGCACCCCCACCCTGTCCCCCTAGCCCAAAGGGTTTCAGAGATCCCTAGGGTTTTCCAGGCAACACTTTTGAGAACCACTGATCTAATACATGCTCACAGCACTGAGAACCTTTTCCTCTTGTATTGCTATTCTGGGAGCATCCCTTCCATTAGAAGTTTTAAGTGTCTCCCAAATTCTTCACACTGCAAAAGCACCTTGTTATGGAACTAACATTGAATAAGTAACAATCTTTCTTCTCCAAGAATTTTATTGGGGATTGCTGAGTAAGGGAATAAGACAGATAATTAGAGTTATAATGTAAGAATTCCTTAAAAAGAATTATGTTAACTGATAGATGACAAAGGGAGTGCTAAATTCTGAATCTAACTCTTGAGGTCTTGAACCTCATGATAAATCCACTCCACTTTCTCTTCTACCAAACCTCATAAATGTGCAAGTTATTAATAAATTGCCTTCACAGCGCTTGGCTCCAGGCACTGTAGTTTTCCAAAACCCTTCGTATTGTGTGTGGTGGTGTTTTTTGTGCTTACCTAGTTCTCCTATTTACAGGTGTGTAAACTTGAGCCACTACTGTAGCTAATGACTGTTTTTTTTCACTCGTCCTTATAATTAAATGTAAGTCTTCTTAGCTATGTGTTGGGTGTTGAAACTGTTGATCTTATTTTGGGTACACCCATTTCCACCGCCCCCCCACCAAACCATCCCGCAAGGGCTGTTGTGTTTCCCAGTAGTGTCCATCCGCATCCCTCTAGAAAGAAGTCCTTAGGACCACTACCAACTCAGTCTGGTTTATTTCCCAAGCCTCACAGTCTGCTGACCTTCTTCAGTTCCGGCAGCGATCCTCTTCCTTGGGGTGGGGGATTTCCATAAAACAGCTGAATCTCTCTTGGGTCATCTGTGGCAAAAGCCAGACACGCGCTCGCCCGCCTGGAAGCCAACAGTAACTTTTGCAAACGCTGCCTCCGGAAACCCCACAGTTTGCGGGCTGCTGCTTTAGGAACAACACAGAAATAACGTCTTTTAACAGAACAAAACATATGGACGGGATAGTGAGAAAGCCTTTGTCCTTCGCGGTGGGGAGAGGTGTTTTAAAGGTGAACCCAGAAGAATACGGGAAACCCGTGTAAAATGCCTTTACAGTTCCCCAGGAAGAAGGGGGCGGAGATGGGCTCTGGAGCGTCTCTGGCCCTTTAAGGAGGAGGGACCAGACATAGAGTCTGTACCTTTAAGAGTCTCTTTGTCTGGAAACCTTCTTACTTACCCTCTTGTGCTTCAACCAAACTCGACCAGCCATTCACAACGCCTCCCTACGCCGCCGCGTCTTACGCCAGGCTCAAATCGGCCGCGCGTTTGTGGCTGACCCTAAACTTTGCGCCTGCGGCACGAACCCTCGGAAAGGGTGCCGGTGCCGGGGTCGCGGTCCAGCGCTGCGCCGTTGGCGCAATGCAGGGCCTGAGGGGCGGGGCTCCGGCGGGTGGGCCAATAGGCGGGCAGGGGGCGGGGCCGAGTTCGGTTGTCTCGCGCCCTGGTGACAGCTCGCGCGTGCTGATGATGGCGGTAAATAGAGGGGGCCGGGGGAGGGGACGGAGGAGGTGGGGAGGCAGCAAAGTGGGTAGCTCCAGGGGTAGGGGGACTGGGACCGGGGAGGCCGCGACGGTCAGGGAGCCCATTCTAAGACTCGGAGGCGGGGACAGGAGTCTCCGGCTCACTAGCCCTCCCCTTTAAAGAAGCAAAATCCTCACACACCGGGTGAGGGGCGACAAAGGCAGCGCGCGCCTTGCGGGCGGGAGGAGCGGCGGCAGGGGGCGGGACCGCGGCGCCGGCGGGCTGGGGGCGCCCGGGGCGGGGGCGGCGGGAGGAGAGAGCCGGGAACCGGGGCGCGCCGGCGCTTTTTTTTGGCGGGGTGGGCGACGACTGGGTCGAGGGAAAAGCCCCTGAAGGGAGAGAGGAAGAAAGGCTTGGGGGCGATGGGGAAAACCGGGTTGAGAATGAGATGAGGAGGATTAAGGGGAGAAAGGGTTAGAAGCCAGGGAGAGCAGGAGTGAGAAAAAGCCAGCCCAGGAGGTAGGAAGGAGGCAAAAGCCAGGGTGGGCGTTAAGGAAGCCGGGCAAGGAATGAGGTTGGGGCTGGGAAAAGGGATCCTGGGGTTAGGTGTAAGAGCGGAGGTTTGAAGGGGAAAGCTTCATAGGGGGTAGTGTTGGGGTGAGGGATACGGGGGTAGGAGTTGCAAGTGGAAGACAAGAAGGGACAGAGCTGGGGTAATAGTTGGGAGTAGGGAAGAGAGAGTGATTAAGAGCCAGACGTGACAAGGGTGTGAACTAGTGCGGAGCGAGATGAGCTGAAGGACTAGGAGGACCAGCGGTGTGGTGGGAACTGCTGCTGAGGTTCTGAGAAAGGAATGGGTTAGTGGGTGGGCGATGGGTGTAAATTCTGTAAAGTGAGGGAGGGCAAATGAGACCTGGACTGGAACCAGGTGGAATCAGGAATAAGAGTGGTGGGAGGGCGAAAGGAAACAGATGAGATGGGCGTCTGTAGAACAATTCTAGGACCAGAAGAGCTGAAAGGAAACTAGAGTTAGGGGGTAAGAAGTGATGGCCGTCTGGGACAAGGCTAACTGGGGAATTACGTTAATTGAAGAGGTTCAGCAAGATCCAAGGTGAAAACAGTGAGGTGAGGAGACAGGGCTAAAAGCAGACGGTGAGAGGAGCAGGAAGAGACAGGCCCCAGGATTTAAAGGATGTGATGGGGAGTAAGGGAAGAGAAGGGGGCTAAGGGAAGCTGGGGGAGTCCTGATGGATGTAGAACGCGGGTAGACTGCACAGGGGTGGGAATTGAATGTGAGTATGTGAGTGTTGTAGGTAGTTGCTCCGGAAGGTCTGCAAGGGTCAGGGCACAAATGTAGTGAAAGATCAAGTGTAAGAAAACCTTTGGTGCAGAAGAGGAGGAACCATGGTGAGTGAAAGGGGACCTAGAGATAGGGGTAAAGACTAAAAAAGTAAGGGCAGAGGTGGGGGGTGCAGGAAAGGAATTCTTTGTTGAGAAGAGAACTGTGTGTTGAAACTGTGAATCCTTTTGTCCCTAAAAGTAGGAAATTCCAGAAAGTTCTTTCTCTCTTCAAGGAATCTTGAATCCGCTTCCACCTTTCATTGCTTTTGATTTGATTTTCCTGTTTACTTTGAAGAAATGAAACTCATTTTGATTTGATTTTTGTATGGATAATAAAGCATAAACTCTGGGTCTTGAAAACCTCTGCATTTCACTAGTGTTGTGATAATGGGGGGAAAGGGTGTGTTTGTTTAGAATGTATCCGTGTGATGTGATAGTTTTGGTGTTGTAGGAGTGTTGTACCTGACAAGTGCTGGGCTGTGTTTTATGGACAGCATTTCATTTTCATTTTCAATGGAGATTGCGCTGTTGTTGGGATAGAAAGATGAGAATCTGTTGGTTTTGATTAATCAATCAGGTTTCTGCTTATTGTTTTCAGTGGCTGGAGAATATCGAGAAATCATTTCAGAGAAAGGCAAATAACCAACCAAGGAAGTTTACTGGGGGAGAGATTTAAATCAGAGCTGAGGGCCTTGAGTTCCTGAGCTGCCTTTAGCTTTGTGTGGGACGTTTCATGCTGTAGTTGGTAACTCACCCATTTAACAAAATGGAATAAAGAAAGGGAGAATTGTAGAGTAGTGGAGGATTTTAGAGTGGCAGACTTATGTTTTAGGGTAAATAATGAATTTATGAGTAATTTTGATGGCAAAAAAAATATTGCATGCTGAGTCTTTGGACAGCTCCACTGCCTTTCGTGTTTTATGGTTATGAATAAAGAAGGCCAGATTAATTTAATTTTCTAGAAGCTTTTGATTTTTAAGACACCATTAGAAATGAAAAAGAAGATAAGAAGTTTGGGGCAAAATTTTGGTTATTCTTAACTTAAAATTTTGTTTTAATGATTTTATTCAGAAGCTTTTACATTTAGCTAAGAATATAAATGAATATTTGTTTTACATTTGATGGTACCAGAAGATAGCAAATAATTTACCTAGGGAAAAATGCAAACTGTTGTTGAGAATCCTGATTGGGGTTATTTCATTGTGTACACTCAGATGCGCAAAGATACTTTTTTTTTTAAGTTGCATAAATTTTGGATTGCCACTCTTTTGTTGGTGTTTGTGTATAAATAGCAAAGATTAGGCTTTTGATATTTGTAATAGTTAACAAAGATTAGATTTTGATTTGTGGATATGAGCAACAATGGTTATTAATGTGTATGAATAATTTAGAAAACTCTTTCTGCATTCAGCTACTGTGTTAGTGGCATAGTATTTAGTTTATGGTTTGTGTCCTGCATTGTATTAAGCAAGTCTTCAAGGTGACTAGATGTATTTAGCAATTTAACAGAGGATCTTGATAAAAATTACTATATTTGCCCCTACATTTAAAAAAGATTAGTTCAATAATGTTCACTTTCAAGATGAAGAGTAACTTTGATATGAGGAACTTGTTTCAGTGAGATGGTGTGCATATTCTCTTTATAGATGTGTTTGGGCTGGTGTTAGTAGTAGGATGTACTCTGTATGGTATTGCCATGTTTATAATGTGATTGTAATTGTTTTATGCTCAATATCTTTACATAAATGATTATAGTCTTACTTGATATTGGTAAAGAAGAAAATATAAACTACAAGATCAGCCAAGGGAAAGAGTCTGAGTCCTGCCTTTTGTTTCTGTATGCAGTGGCCTTAGTGTGCTAAACCACTGAGTCTCATTGTCAATGGTTATTTCTCAGTTGCTTTTTCTAAAACTAAAAATGGATTTTTAAAAATTCAGATAATACTCTTTATCAATAAGGACTCCAATGATAAATTTAAGTTTTATTTTAATATTTTCATCAAGTACAGTTCTACCCAGTTTAACTTTGTTTTGGTTATAATCTTATTTGCTAAGCAAAAGCTTTTAAGTTTATATTTTTAGATTTATTAGGTTGTACATAATGACATGTTTTCCTGGTTAATTGTAGATTCTTTGGATGGGAAGAGACCTTGAAAGGACCTCTAGTTTATCCTGCAACTCCAGTCAATATCCCACTTAAATCATCCCAGGTAGATAAAAATTTATCCTGTTTTTTAAAATAAATCTTCAGCAGTCATGTGGTAACCTCTGTAGATAATCTTTGCCAGCATGTAATAATTTCTCTATCGGGAGAGTCTGCCTTCTCTCTAACCAGCACATGCTTAATGCTATATATGTGTTTGTTTCCTCTTGCCCCGTTCTCAATTTTTGAGTAAAAAAATCTGTGTATTATTGTATTTATAAGACCTTAGTTCTTCATAAACTTAATAATAGTAGCTAACACATATATACTGCTTTTGGGCCAGACACATTTATAAGCACTGCAAATTATAACTTGTTTACTCCGCAGTGGCAATCCTATGAGGTAGGTACTATTACTATTCTCATTTTACAGGTGATGAAATAGAGGGTGAGATTAAATGACTTGCCCAGGGTTATACTCAGACATTTCTACAACTACTTGTTTGGTAGTTAATTATCTTATATTACAAATAATACTATATTTTCTTAAATAGTAACCCAGTGATACATTTAATCTTTATTTTAGTTCAAAAGCTAGAATTCTACCAAGTGGATGGGATTCCAACCTTTGCATTTTGCCAGCAGAGTCTGTGCTCTGGTTTTGCGTCTGGCTTGCCAGTTGTGAAGTCATCCCTCACCATACTTTTCTTCAGATTCAACGCTTAACAAGTTTTTGTTTGCCAATCTTTAAATTATCCTGTAGTACTGTTACAAACTTTTAAAAATTCCTTACCGTAACGGTTATGTATAATGCAAAGATTATGTCAAGGTTCTGGCATTCCAAAATTGTATTTAAAAAACAACCCCGGCCGGGTGCGGTGGCTCAGGCCTGTAATCCCAGCACTTTGGGAGGCTGAGGTGGGTGGATCACGAGGTCAAGAGATCGAGACCATCCTGGTCAACATGGTGAAACCCCGTCTCTACTAAAAATACAAAAAATTAGCTGGGCATGGTGGCACGTGCCTGTAATCCCAGCTACTCAGGAGGCTGAGGCAGGAGAATTGCCTGAACCCAGGAGGCGGAGGTTGCGGTGAACCGAGATCGCGCCATTGCACTCCAGCCTGGGCAACAAGAGCGAAACTCCGCCTCAAAAAAAAAAAAGCAAAAAAAACACCCAGACCCATAAAAAATGCCTTATTGCATTGCAGGTTACCCATCCACCTTCTCAGCTAGAAAAATGCCCTGGACTTGTTACATACTATGACACATTTACAGTTGAAAGATTATTGCTGTTCGAAGAAAAATGGATTTTTCCTGATTGCAGATTTCAGTGCAAATATCCATAAGCAAATCAGTTTGTTTATAATCCCAATCAAGATTCTCAACAACAGTTTGCATTTTTCCCTAGGTAAATTATATGCCTCACTGACTTTTTTACTATTTTCTCTTTATGTGTGCCTATCTAAGTGATATATCAATTCTCCCTATACATTTCTTTTAACTTTTTGTTTTTGAGACAGAACTTTTTTTTTTCATTGAAAATAGATTTTGTTTCATTCAAATGAGAAATGCTGTGTTGTCCCAAACTGCCTCCCAACAAAGGTCTCCTCTTGATAAATGAAAAGAGTAAAAAGACAACTTCACTTGTCTTTTTATGCAGTTCTGTCAGAAGGTACATAACCAAAAAAACTGCAACACCCAGACTGTCCATGCCGTGTCTGGATGATTGACTCTGAAGGAAAAGGAGAGAGAATCACTGCTCTGATTTGAAGTGTGAAAAGTTCTTATATGTCCATGTCAGTTAACACTGGCACAATATAGAAAGCAAAATGACCCTCAAGAGAAGGGTTTCATTGAGTAGAGTATAAGAGAGAGAACAATAAGAGGGTAAGACACACCTTCTGAGAAGGTTTGCTTGTGTTCAGCTGAAGATTAATAGGAAACAGTGAAAAATCAACATCCCATTATCAGTAACTTTAAAGACAAGCTTGGTTTTCTGTTTCTGGCGTGAGCTCAGCTCACTACAACCTCTGCCTCCCAGGTTCAAGTGATTCTCCTGCCTCAGCCTCCCTAGTAGCTGGGATAAGGCACCTGCCACCACACCCAGCCAAGGTTTTTTTTTTTTTTTTTGACATGTAGTTTTGCACTTGTCATCCAGGCTGGAGTGCAATGGCCCGATCTCGGTTCACTGGAACCTCTGCTTCCCGGGTTCAAGTGATTCTCCTGTCTCAGCCTCCAGAGTAGCTGGGATTACAGGTGCCTGCCACCATACCTAGCTAATTTTTGTATTTTTAGTAGAGATGGGGTTTCACCATGCTGGCCAGGCTAGTCTCAAACCCCTGACCTCAGGTAACGCACTTCCCTCGGCTTCCCAAAATGCTAGGGTTACAGGTGTGAGCCACCACACCCAGCCCTAGCCAAGTTTCTATACTTTTAGTACAGACGGGGTTTCACCATGGTCTCAAACTTCTGACCTCAAGTTATCTACCCGCCTCGGCCTCCCAGAGTGCTAGGATCACAGGCGACAGCCACTGCGCCCAGCTGATCCACTCATTTTAAAAAAGAAGTAATAATTACTGAGTGTTTACTAGGTGTCCAGCATTAACAGTATGTGAATTGTTTGAAACTTGAAACAGTCCTATGAGGAAACTTCTGTTGTTCATACTCTATTTTTTGGTGACTATTGATTTTATTCCAATTTTTTAAACATGGAAAAGTTTTAAAAATGATACAAGAAACTGCTGTATACCCTTACTCAGTTTTCCCAGGTTTTTTTCATTTTGCCCATCTGCTTTATCATTTTCTCTTTAGTATTTTTAAACAAATCAAATTGAAGAAAACACATATGAAGACCTTAATTTTAAAGAAGAAAAGGGGAGAATGTTTTGAGTATTTCAGAAAGTTTAGTTTGTGTTTGATCTTAGCCAAGCACTTGAAGCAAAGGAATTTCAAGATTGGATTTAGAGTGGCTTTTGTGTTTTTATAGTCTTGTCTCCAGGACATTCCGAGATTTTTTTACTTGTGAATGATGGGTTTGTACGTCTCTCCCATTAGCAGAAACTGTGTCATAGCACACCCCTCTGTTGGGAACCTCTCTAGTGCGTGGCGTGGTGTGCTCACACATGGATGTGTCCTCGGGACATGCTAGCTGTTGAGGTATGGGTGATTATTGTGTGAGAAACAGGAGCCATGGGGCCTTTCAACACCACGACCAAATATTTAGTTGAAATACATATTTTAAACACTCTTAGGTAGCTTTGAGGAGCTGGAAAAGATCAAAGTGCAAAATACATTGCTTTAAGAATATTTGTTGGCTGGGTGCGGTGGCTCACGCCTATAATCCTAGCACTTTGAGAGGCTGAGGCAGGTGGATTCCTTGAGTCCAGGAGTTTGAGACCGCCTGGCCAACATGGTAAAACCCTGTCTCCACTAAAAATACAAAAATTAGCTGGATATGGAGGCACACACCTGTAATCCCAAATACTCAGGAGACTGAGGCAGGAGAATCAATCGCTTGAACCTGCAAGATGGAGGTTGCAGTGAGCCAAGATCAAGCCACTGCACTCCAGCCTGGGTGACAGAGTGAGACTGAGTCTAAAAAAAAGAACATTGGTTGGGATTAATACAAATAGGTTTGTCATTGTCATATGGTAAAGGGATGAATGGAAATATCTTAATATTTTATTACCTTACCCCCAAATAAACCTAAATTTTGGGAGTCTTAGTTGTTGTCACATTAGGAAATTTAACTCCCTTCCTCCCCATCATTTAATCTTCATTAAAATGATGGCCTAGCCATTTGATAAACTTGTGACCTGAAGGAAGTCCTCTTGGTTTAAGTGAAAGGAATATTAATCGTATTCTGCCAAATGTAAAATACAGCACTTGGGGGCTTCTTTTCCTTCTCTTCCCCTGTTTAAGCAATTATCAAAGCTGTGAAATATAGCTCCTTGCTAAAGCTGATTGTAGGCCAGGCATGATAGCTCACACCTGTTATCCCAGCACTTTGGGAGGCCAAGACAGGTGGATCACTTGAGGCCAGGAGTTTGAGACCAGCCTGGCCAACATGGGGAAACCTGTCTCTACTAAAAATACAAAAATTAGCTGGGCCTGGTGGTGCATGCCTGTAATCCTAGCTACTCAGTGGCTGAGGAACATGATTCGCTTGAACCTGGGAGGCAGAGGTTGTAGCTAGCCGAGATCGAGCCACTGTATTCCAGCCTGGATGACAGAGCAAGACCCCGTCTCAAAAAAAAAAAAAAAAAAAAGCTGATTGTATTAATTAAAATCACCCCCCTTTCGTAAGGGTGAAAAAATTACAAATTGGAAAGCATTTTTTCTAGTCATGTGTTATTGTTTCAGAGACATGGGCTGTTTGTTTAAAGACTGTAATACTATCCCTTTTCCATTCATATGTTAATAGAAGTCTGGAAAGTAAGGCATTCTCCTGAAATTTTCAGGGTTTTTTATTATATGCCAAGTTGTAAACAGCATTCTGTGACAGGTATTTTCTGTCTTTGTCTTTTATTGAGCTAATTAGTAATTTACACTCTAGTAGCATCTCTTCCAGCTTTACTGTGTGAAAATGTCTGCTACTCTGTGCATTCTATGCAGCCAGGGCTGGCAAATGATTGGGGGCAGATGTTGGTTAGCACATCAGAAGGATCAGAGATAAAATTCATTTTTATTTTGTGTTTTTAAAGATATAGCAAAGGCTTTTGTCTATGTCTTTCCCCTACTCGGTTATCCCCTCCCCTCATTCAAATAGGAATGTTATGAACTCTATAACCCAGAGCTACTGTTCTTGATTGAGTTTTAGATTGTTTTCTATCCTTTTCCCCACCCCCACCCAAACGTTGTGTGGGATTTGGGAAGGATTAGCACAGCAGTCTGGCATACTTTAGAGCCCAGGAAGCTGGTCTTTACTGCACCCTCCCATCATCAGAATACAGAGCTTTCAGTCATTGTCTTTAGAACCCAGCAGTGCTTCTCTTGCTGGGCAAGTTGTGTGAAAGATGGGAGGGCAGCACTGTTGGTAGTGAGTTAGGAGGATACTTTTGTATGATGT